CCCCTCCCCCCTCCTCATCCCTCCAGCCCCTGCAATTTCACTCACAAATCAACTTCCCCGACGTGGCCGCTCCGCTCGCAAAACGCTGGCGTGCGTTCCAGGAACATAAGCGCCGGGGGAAGGGGGTAGGAGGAGGGGCGTGGGAGTGTCGGCGGGAGGTGGGCAGCAGGCTGCAGTACGCCAATAAAGTTACTATATCCATCAGCCGCGCGAGCATGTATTGGGCATTACTCTACCAAAAGCGGAGCACTATAGTCACGGTGCAACGACACAGATGTACAAAAATACAGTGAGCCCACAAATAGAAACATACGAGACACTCACCAACAAGAATAGCGTCGTCGTCGTCAAACCGAAGCCGGGTCACACAAACACACACAACTTCACAACTTGCACAGTTTTCACTACAACGTGAAACACAAAATTACCGGTGACGATCCCTTCAGCTGAGCGGCCGACGCATGGTACACGAACCACAAGTTGATGAGTGGAAAGGGGGGAGGGTCCGTAGCGGAGTAATCACTAGTGCAGGTTAGGACAGGCCGGGGCTTTGCGGGTATCGAAAGGACTGCGAAATTCAAAACTATGGCCCCATAGCTAAAGCCTTGAAGGGCCGTGACAGCCGACAGGCGTTGTGTACACCAACAGTAAACACAAACACAGTAAACAAAACAGCGCACGGCGAAAACAACAACTTTGGACACGGAGGCGGTGGGACTAGTCATACCCGGAGGGCATGACGAGCAGGCCATTTACGGATGACAGGAGACGGCAGTGGAAATGCTGTCACCGACGCAACGGCGTACAAGCAAACTTGAAACGACAAAACTGGACGCGACGCGACGCATACTCGGCGGCGGCGTGTCAGCCGGGAAGGCAGGCGAGCGAGCGGGCCGCCGCCGCCGGCCGCCTCCGCTCACGCTCCGTGACTGACTGGCTGGCGGGCTGGGTTGCCAACGCCGCCGCCAGGTGGCGCTACTAGCGTGCCGACTGACCGTCGTCGCCGGCGTCGTCTGCTCAGGTCTGCTCGCTGCGCGCGCGGGCTTTTGAAGCGGGCTTGGACTTCCAAGAAGCGAGGTGGCTATCTGCGACAGGGTATCCCTCTAGAGCGCGGAGCGGAAGTAAGAAGAACAAAAGCGGATACAGAGAGCGGTGGTGGGGGGCGGGCG